AATGTCATATAGTTGGAATCATATGTAGTCTTTTCAGATTGGCTTCTTTCACTTAGGAATATACATTCAAGTTCCCTCTAAGTCTTTCAATAGCTTGATAGCTCGTTTCTTTATAGCACTGCATAATATTCCACCGTCTGGACGTACCACAGTTTATGCGTTCACCTACTGGAGGACATCTTGATGACTTGCAGTTTCCGGCAATTATGAATAAAGCTGCTATAAAAATCCATGTTCAAGTTTTTGTGTGGACACGAGTTTTCACTTCTTTCAAGGAAATACCGAGGAATGCATTTGCTGGCTTGTAGGCTAAGAGTCAGTTTCGTTTCGGAAGAAATTGCCAAATTGTCTTACGAAGCAAACGGACCGTTTTGCATTCCCATTGGCCAGGAATGAGAGTTTCTGTTGCTGCACAAATTCATCAACATTCAGTGTTGTCAGTGTTTTGGATTTTGGCAATTCTAATAGGTGTGTAGTGGTATGTCATTGTTGTGTTAATTTGCGTTTCCCTAATGATATCTCGTGTGCATCTTCATATTCTTGTTTGCCCTCTGGATATCTTCTTTGGTGAGGTATCTGCTCCATCTTTTGCCCATTTTTTATTGGGTTTGGGTTGTTTACTTTCTCTGTTAATAGTCCTTTGTTTTAGCTCACAGTCCTTTGTCAGATACACCTTTATAAATTTTTTTTTTTACATTTATTTATTTTTGAGAAACAGAGTGAGACAAAGCGTGAATGGGGGGAGGGGCAGAGAGAGTAGGAGACACAGAATCTGAAGCAGGCTCCAGGCTCTGAGCAAGCGGTCAGCACAGAGCCTGATGCAGGGCTCGAACCCACGAACTGTGAGATCATGACCTGAGCCGAAGTCAGACACTCAACCGACTGAGCCACCCAGGCACCCCTATCAGATACACCTTTTGCAAAAAGTTCCTCCCAATCTGAAGCCTGTCTTCTTATTCTATTGACGATGTCTTTCACAGAGCAGAAGTTTTTAATCTTAATGAAGTCCAGTAATCAGTTTTTTTCTTTCACAGATTGTTTTTCGGTGATGTATATAAAAAGCACAGCCAGGGGCGCCTGGGTGGTCCAGTCGGTTAAGCATCCAACTTCGGATATATTGTATATATATTCATTTCTGAGCTCTCCAAGACCACCATGCAATTCTTCAAGTCTCAGCAGACACTGACTGGGTGTCCTCCAAATTGGACTCCATTCTGACCCTCTTTACCTGGAGTTAGCATCATATCTGATGCGGTTTTAGAGTGGTGGTGGGGGTCCAGAACTGATGGCCAGGAAAGAATTCTTGAGATGTCTTTGGTGCAAAAAGGTGATTTTATTAAAGCATGGGGACAGGACCCGTGGGCAGAAAGAGCTGCACTGGGGTTGTGAAGAGTGACTGGTTATATGCTATGGAGTGAGGGAGGTAAAGGCAAAGGGAGGCTTCCAGAAGGACTTGATATGCTAAAGAAGACTCAGAAGATACCAGAGGTCTTGCTATTGTCAAGCTAAGGTCGTTTTCCCTCTAGTAAGGCATTAACTTTAAGACAAGACAGTTGGGAGTTTATTGGAGGAATGTTTTACTCTGCCTATCTCAAATATTTGTCAGTGGGCTGCAGGTTACAAAGAAATTTAATTGTATTATATTTTTGTCTTGCCTTTGTTCCCTACATTGCCATGGAGGGGAAGGTGATGTTAGCGTTCCAGGAAATTGAGTCCATGGGTTTCTGGAGGTTAGGCTATTGATAAGATTGCTTTTTTCTTGTAATTTACTAAGACGTTTGTAAACTTATGTCCTGCAGGACTGTGATCTCTATCAGTTAGCCCTTTGTTTTCTCCTTCTCTTAGCTTTAAGGCAGCCAGGAGCGCTTGAGGATTGTCACTTGTATCCCACCAGAGGCCGGAGGCTGGAGGGCGTTTACGGGGTCTCAGCTTGCCTCATGCTCCCTCATCAATATCCTAAAGGTTAAAGGTTCAGTCTCACAAGACTGTCCCCACTTCAGATGCCAATTCCAAGTCCAGATTGTTACCTGTGCCACTGACTGATTGACTATAAATCAGAGGTTCCCACAACCTCCTCCTTGGATTTGATCATTTGTTAGAATGGCTCACAAAGCTCAGGGAAACATTGACTTACACTTACCAGTGAGTACTTATTATAAAGTATATAAGTGGGGCGCCTGGGTGGCGCAGTCGGTTAAGCGTCCGACTTCAGCCAGGTCACGATCTCGCGGTCCGTGAGTTCGAGCCCCGCGTCGGGCTCTGGGCTGATGGCTCAGAGCCTGGAGCCTGCTTCCGATTCTGTGTCTCCCTCTCTCTCTGCCCCTCCCCCGTTCATGCTCTGTCTCTCTCTGTCCCCCCCCCCAAAAAAAAAACGATAAAGTATATAAGTAAGTACTTATTATAAAGGATATTATAAAGGATACTGATGAACAGCCAGATGAAGAGGTATGTAGGGCCAGGTTTGGTAGAGTCCCACGTGCAGGAGTTTCTGTCCCCATGAAACTGGGGTGCACTACCCTCTGGACATGTGGATGAGTTCACCAACCTGGAAGCTCATCAAATCTTGTTGTTCAAGAGTTTTTATAGAATTTAATCTGTGATACTCCCCCTCCCCCCTTTCTTCCCAGAGATCAATGGCTGGAGCTGAAAGTTTCGACCTTAAATCACTTGATCTGTCTGGTGATCAGTTCCAACCCGAGGTTGTCTAGGGATCCCTTCTAAGTCAGCTTACTAGCATAAACTCGGGTGTACTCAAAAGGGGCTCCTTATAAATAACAGACACTCTTATCACTCAGGGAATTCCGTGGGTTCTAGGAGTTTTTTCAGTGACCAGAGACAAAGACCAAATATATTTCCTATTACAGCACAGTACCTTTGATATTATGTGGGGAAAATGACACTTTACCTTAATGATCTTCTTACCCAAGTCCTATAACCGCAGTCTAATTATGAGAAAATCATGAGATAAATTCCCATGGAGGCACGTCCTACAGTATACCTGACCAGTACTACTCAGAACTGCCAAGTTCATCAAAAACAAGGAACGTCTGACAAACTATCATGGGCAAGCAGAGCCTGCAACGACAGGACAACTGAATGCAGCATCCTGGATGGGAGTCGGATACATGAAAAGGGCATTAGGTCAAGAGCTTGGGAAGTCTGGATAAACTATGGGCTTCATCTAATAATAATGTATCAACATTGATTCATTCATTGTAACAAACGTATCATATAATGTAAGATGTTATGTGCATGTGGGAGAGGTATATAGAAGCCTTCTGTACTTACCTGCTCATTTTTTCCCCTGTAAATCTAAAACTATTCTTCAAAAACATAAAGTCTATTATTAAGTTTAAAAACTCTGGGATATTTAGAGCTTACAGGTGTGATTGTGGACAGAGGATATGCCAAGAAACGTGTGGGATGGAGAATCAGAGCTACAGCGCTCTTGGGTGCAGGTAGGAAAACTGAGACTTGCATATACGAACCCTTCGGACGAAGTTCAAGGTTAATCTTTTGATAGTGAGGTTTCCAGAGAGCCAAATCCCCAACTTTTATATGTGGACTAGTTTAGATGGGAAGACTGGAGGAAACACAGTGTTAACCTGTTGATAAGGCATGGGCATAGTCAGTCAGTCCGTCGCAATATTTGGGAAGGTCTGAAATGACCAGACCAGAGTCTTCTGTAGCCCATGCCATGTGTGGAATTCTCACAGATGCTCCAGTAAGTGTCTCATAGAAGAAGAGTTGATGTGGGTGGAGATTCGAAAGTCATCAAAGCCGAAGATAAAACCTCGGACCATGGAAGGCCAAGTTTCTCTGAGAGTTTTGCAATTTTAGATTTAACAATCCATTCATGCGCTCAGTCAAGACGGGGCAAAAGCAACATCCCAGAGAGAGCAAAATGGTTCCAGCAGAAACTTAGCAACAGTGGTTAAGCAGTAGCCCTCTTACACGGGGAAGCTTTGATCCGCGTAGAGAGAGGAGATTTAACATTCTGTCTGCTGTGGAATGGGGGCAGGTTTCTGAGCAGGCTTTAGCAAGTTCCCCCTTTGCTTCTGGATCTTATCGCCCATATGAGTTTCTGTTTTAATTTTTTTTAACGTTTATTTATTATTTTTGGGACAGAGAGAGACAGAGCATGAACGGGGGAGGGGCAGAGAGAGAGGGAGACACAGAATCGGAACCAGGCTCCAGGCTCTGAGCCATCAGCCCAGAGCCCGACGCGGGGCTCGAACTCACGCGAGATCACGCGAGATCTCGCGAGATCGTGACCTGGCTGAAGTCGGACGCTTAACCGACTGCGCCACCCAGGCGCCCCGAGTTTCTGTTTTAAATATGTCCACTTCTTTTGGCACCGATAAATCCTCGAAGTGATCAGCCACGCATCTCCCGTCTTGAGTTGCTGTGCCACGTGCAGTCATAAATGCCGATCAAGTACCGCTAACCTTAAAAGTAAAACTCTTGATTATTTTGCTAGGAAAATGGGCTTGTTCAGGAATAGCAGAGAACTGCAACTCAAGACATGCAAGCTACAGCAAAACCATAGGCAACCCTGTTGGCGGGCAGGGAGAAAATCTTCCTTCCGCATGCTGGTGTAGTACAAACAGACTTCTTCCTGTGGGAAAATGCAAGGAAGGTCTCTTGTGGGGTCTGCAAAGGGCTGTGAGGAGTGCTACAGCGTGAGCGCTCCCCCTTCCGGCCTTATTTATTTATTCATTTCTAGGGAACCTTGCTTTTTAGAAATATTTATTTATTTTGAAAAAGAGAGAGAGAGAGAGTGCATGCGCAAGTGGGGGGGGGGGGGGGGGCCGGCAGAGGGAGAACCCCAAGCAGGCTCCACAGCGTCAGCGCTCAGAACCCCACGTGGGGCTCAGACTCACTAACCGTGAGATCATGACCTGAGCTGAAATCAAGAGTCGGATGCTTAACCGACTGAGCCACCCAGGGGCCCCCTTTTTTTTAATTGAAGTTTTGTTTTTTATTTCTTTGTATCCCAGGTGGGACTCCAACCTATGACCCCAAGATTCAGGGTTGCATGTTCTTCCAACTGAGCCAACCAGGTACCCCCTCCCAATTCCATTTTAGTTTAGTTTAGTTTAGTTTATTTAAGTTTATTAATTTTTGAGAGAGAGAGAGAGAGAGAGAGATAGCAGTGGAGGGGCAGAGAGAGAGAGAGAGAGAGAGAGAGGTGAGAGAGAGAATCCCAAGCAGGCTGCATGCTGACGGCATGGAGCCCAACTCAGGACTCAAACCCGTAAACCTTGAGATCTTAACGTGGGCTGAAATCATGAGTGAGCTGCTCAACTGACTGAGCCACCCAGGGACCTCCCAACTCCATTTAAAACGACATTCCCTTTATTCAGTTCCATAGTTCCAACTCAAAAGGTATCTGCTATCTGTGCAGATACTAATTCTCCTATCTATCCTTAACTAACGTGCAGGCCCGCGTGAGAACCATAAGTTCCGCCAACTGGAATGAATTCTGTTATCTGGGATGATTGGGTGTAAGGCTGACACTCATATTCATGGGGTTCTGGAAACCTACAGATTCAGGCAGATCCTGCCTGAAATGTTCCTTGTGAAGTGAGGAGCTAGTAGCCATCAACAGAGAAGGTGAGGTTTGGGTCTGTTAGGGGAAGCTCTGAAAGGCCGGAGTGCAGAAGAGTTAAGTTTAAGTGGCTGCCTTACAGTCACGTGGGTCCCCTCCAGTCAGGAAAAGAAGAAGACCAGCAACGCTAAGATTTCGAACAATGGGGGGTGGTAATGTGAGAAGGAGTGAGCAAAAGGATCTCAAGAGAGGCAAGATGAGAGGTGAAAAAAAAAATGCGGTGTTTCAGTTAGGAGAAGGATTTGGGCACACATGGGGTACATACCTAACACAAGATCCATTGTCGCCTGAACCAACTTTGCTCTTGCCATGACTGCTCTACAACAAGAAATGGCTTCAGCCACGCAGTCCAGAGCGAGACTAAAATACCCAATGGGCCTCTGCTTGAAAAAGCACCTAAAGCATGTCCTTCTCTCTCATGAATGAATGACTAGTGAGAAGGGCAAAGGATGTTTTGGGAGCCTCAAGGTGGAAGCACAGGAAAGGGAAGTTTTTAAGGATTTGAATACATCATGGAAAGTGAGTCCCATTGTAGAAGGTGAGGCATAGTTTCCTAAATTATGCCATATAAAGGGGACGCTACGTTAGAAAAACTTGGAATCCACTTCCTACAACATCCAGGTAATCCTAGAAAGCCCCAGAGCTGTCTTTTGGTTTCAGGCTGAAGGTAATGAAGGATGGTCTTGCTAGTTCTGAGGACAAGGGTTTTCCCTCAGGGTTAGATACCATGTTCTAAATATTGCACCTGGACGGCAAAGTTGTATTTTGCCCCTTGAAACCTTATGCTCCTCGTAAATGTGAAACTGAATAAGGAAAATGTCAGTTATCTTTTTTTATAAGAAAGTCTCATTTAAAGTGGAGTTGGAAGGCCAGAAGGGGGAGCTCTCATGCTGTACCATTCCTCACAGCCCTTTGCAGAGCAAACAGAAAGAGACAGACCTGCGTTCCCAAAGAGAAGCCTGCTTTACAATCCCAGCAGAGGAAGAAAGATTTTCTCCCAGCCCAGCAACAGCCTAGCCAATGAGAGACTGTCACACACAACTCAACCAATGAAAAGCCACTACACTTCCGACTCCCGGTTTACTCCAATGGACTTTTTGTTTACAACAGCTCCTCCCAAGTCCCCCACCCCCCTTTTCTCTATGAAAGAGCCAACTTCTCCTTTGTGCTTTGGACTTGTTTGTGGTTTTGCTGTAGCTTGCGTGGCTTGAATTGTAATTCTCTGCTGCTCCCGAATAAATCAGTTTTTCTGGTAAAATAATTAACAGTTTTATTTTTATTTAAAAAAAATTTTTTTTTCAACGTTTATTTATTTTTGGGACAGAGAGAGACAGAGCATGAATGGGGGAGGGGCAGAGAGAGAGGGAGACACAGAATCGGAACCAGGCTCCAGGCTCTGAGCCATCAGCCCAGAGCCCGACGCGGGGCTCGAACTAACGGACCGCGAGATCGTGACCTGGCTGAAGTCGGACGCTTAACCGACTGCGCCACCCAGGCGCCCCTTAACAGTTTTGTTTTTAAGGTTAACACAAGCCGGAGCTTCTAATAAGTATCAAGTGTCTGTGAGTCACTGAACCGAGTAAAACAAAGAAGCTCATCCGGATATTGATTGAGGATTGAATTATAAAAGAAGCCTAGATTCTTTGGATTTACACTTAATATTCAGGCAAAAATAAGCGGGGACTTTGGAACACCCCTGGAGCACGACGATCCAGGTATGCTGTTGGTTTTCCCATGCGAGGTGAAGAGGTATTTGGGAGTTAGGTAAAGGGGTCTGCTGAAGAAAGCAGAGCATATCAACAATGACGAAATAAATAGTGTCAGAGGGTATAGGAGCAAAGATAGTGTTGCGATTTGGGAAAAAACAATATGCATTTTACAATTTTATTTATGGCTCACAGTTCTTGGACAAACTGGTAACCCCTTCCGTTAGGTTTCTTTATGGGTAGGATAGATGTGCTGCAGAGGCTCCATGTGGAGATCAGAAGCCCTTTGTCAAGTAATATATGAGTAATAGGTCCGAGACTATAAATTACCTCATTTTTAAGGTATCGTATTGAGTTAATTTAGAGAGAGACATAGCGAGGTCTACATCCACCTTTAAAGGCTCTACCTCTCAGCGGCCTCCTACACCTGCCATTCCTTTAGGCGAAAGTGAGTCAGGAATGTGAATGAGCGAAAGTGAGTCAGGAAGGTGAATGAGCGTGTCCCTGCATGCAGCCCTTATCAAGGGCTTGGGGAGCTCTGAGGGGTCAAGAAAACCTTAGTAACCTATCAAAGCTGTCAGAGGGCACAGTGCCTGAGGTTGGAGTCTGGAACTTCAAAGGTGAGTCCCTTGGATGAACGTTAAATATTAACATTACAGGGGCGCCTGGGTGGCTCAGTCGGTTGAGCGTCCGACTTCAGCTCAGTCACGATCTCACGGTTCGTGAGTTCGAGCCCCGCGTCAGGCTCTGGGCTGATGGCTCAGAGCCTGGAGCCTGCTTCCGATTCTGTGTCTCCTTCTCTCTGCCCCTCCCCCATTCATGCTCTGTCTCTCTCTGTCTCAAAAATAAATAAACATTAAAAATAAAAAAAATTTAAAAAAAATATTAACATTACAATGAGAAATCAAGTCTCTGCCTCGTAGCTTAAAAGAGGTTGGGGGATTTAAGAGAAAAGCTTTGTTGGGCATCATGGGGTCCAAGAGACAAAGAAAGGGTATTTTTGTTTATTTGTTTGTTTTTTTTAGGGATGGATCATGTGACTGATTATCTAATCATGTGAGGGATTATCTAACCTCACTACAGAGGTGAGTTGTGTACCCTGAGGAATTATAGTAGGGCCATCTGAGGTGTTGAGGGTGGAGTATGTGACCCCACCAGAAAGGTGGCAGTGTGCCCATTGACTGAGGTGATCATCTCACCCCGTGTATTCAAGGGGGTCTGGGGAAAGACAGGAACAGATTCCTTAAAGGGAAGTCATTGGAAGTAACAATTACAGAGGGGAGGTGAACTCTGAGAGGTTACATGGCCTCAGGTAAGGTACGAAGAGACTGTTGAATGACCTGATGAGGGTTGTACTAAAAAGGCCATTTTTCTTTTCTTTAAAAAATTTTTAATGTTTATTTTGGAGAGAGGGAGAGAGAGAGTGTGAGCAGGGTAGGACACAGAATGTGAAGCAGGCTCCAGGCTCTGAGCTGTCAGCACAGAGCCCGGTGCGGGGCTCAAATCCACAAACCTCGAGATCATGACCTGAGCTGAAGTTGGACGCTTAATCAACAGAGCCACCCAGGTGCCCCTAAAACGGCCATTTTTCAATTTCATACTAGGAGAAACTAGCAGACCACTTTTAAAAAACGTTTATTTATTTTTGAGAGAGAGGGAGAGAGACCAAAAGAAACAGAATCCCAAGCAGGCTCCATGCTATCAGTGCAGGGCCTGACGTGGGGCTTGAACTCATGAACCATAAGATCATGACCTGAGCCAAAATCAAGAGTTGGACACTTAACCAACTGAGCCACACAGGCGCCCCCAAGGACCATTTTCTAGAGGGGATTTGGGAACCTGAGGATTCAAGGTCCCCTGGAGATAAACCAATTTGGGGAGACCCCAAGAACTCCAGAGAGATGATTGTAGTTCCAAATTATCCTTAGTGAAATTCTACCTTTTTCTGGAATGTCGGACTGAATTAGTGCTATCGAGGCAGAGCGTGTAATCAAGAACAGAGGAGGAAAGGGGGGATCCAGGGGAACGAGAATTTCCCATTGGTTTAGACATGTATTCAAATAAACAAAAGAGGTTTCCCCCAAGAGCTGGGAAGATTCTCACCCGTCCCAAAACTTGCAAGATTCCTGTTCAACGGGCAGATCGGATGCCCACTCAAGAGCCAAAGAAAAAAGTTTTCATTCAAAGAGAATCAAACTAACTCCTTGCTTGTGCTATAACGGCACATGTCTGGAGCACTGGATTAGGGGTTGTGATTGACAGTGTGGAGCCAGATCTCCCCAATGTGGAAAGGACACAAGGGGTATGAGAGGCTGACATGAACACCTGGGTGACAGTAGAAGGACCTGAGCCAGCACTCCCTCCGAGTCACGGCACCAGAATACTGTCAAAAAAAAAAAAAAAAAAAATCCAAACTTGCCTAGAGAAAGACTATCCAGAAGTCTGGACAGACCATCAGATCTGTAAGCACCTGAGGAGGCTGTGGGGAAATGGCATTTCTTTTACAGGGAGGCACGGACAAGGCTGGAAAGAGCCAGGTGTGGGGTAGGGAGGTAAGCAAGTGGTGTCGTCAAGCACCCGAACAGGAAATGTCTTTCTCTGCCGTCAGCCGATCCTCGATCCTCGGGAGGTGCCGTTGAGATTGTCCTGCTTTCTAATGCTTGCTTCAGCTCAAGGGTGGGCTGCAGTTCAAGGGCCGGTGGAGAGGAGAGAAGCCTGACCAGTTTGGTCAGAACGAGTTAGCAGGGATTTTGTCCAGATTGGTCATTTGCATTTACGAAAATTGTAAATAGACGGAATCGTACGGTAGGCACGCTGGCTTCTCAGTATAATTGAGATTTGTACCGCCTCAGTGACCCTCTGAACTACCTTCAACTTTTCATATTGTCCAGCTTTCCGAGTGTTCTTCTGTGGAAAGGTTGATCTGAAGTGACCCAGTCAACCACCGTGGGAAGTGCAAGTCGACTTGGTTGTTTTGATGGCATTCTACTCATTCTACTTTTAAAATATTTATGGGAACTCTCTGGGACCTATGGTGAAGGCGCCTTCCTCCAGAGGAGTCATGTGTTTGTTTAGTATTTGAGTTCAGCAGATCCTTTCTGTTTTGTTTTTTTTTTAAGTTTTACTTATTGATTTTTTTAGTAGTCTCTACGCCCAGCGTGGGGCTCGAACTCATGACCCCTGAGATCAAGAGTCGCACACTCTTCCTACTGAGCCAGCCAGGAGTCAGCAGATGCTTTCAAGCTGAGAATTTGGATCATTGTTCAATCTAGAAAATAGGTTTTTGGAAAAACTTTCCTCTCCTACATACGTTCTTCTTTGTTCCTGGATCTTTAATTTTTTAAATATATTTTATTTTTTTAAGTTTATATATTTATTTTGAGAGAGACAGAGAGAGACGGCGTGACTGGGGGAGGGGGTGAGAGAGGGAGAGAGAATCCCAAACAGGCTCCTCACTGTGAGCGCAGAGCCTGATGTGGGGCTCGAACCCGAGAACCGTGAGATCATGACCTGAGCAGAAATCAAGAGTTGGACGCTCAACCGAGTGAGCCCCCCGGGTGCCCCCTTTGTTCCTGGATCTTTAATTAGATGGAATCTCTGCCAGTCTTCCAAAAGTCATCCCTCTCCCCAACCAGAAAATAAAAAAATGGATGTTCTTTGGATTTTCTTCTAATACTTGAATGCTTTATTTCTTTGAATTACATATTCATATATAATGCAAGTCCATTCTTTTTAAATTACCATAGCTTCCTAATTTATATGCTAGGAACAGTAAGCACCTCTTCATTACTTTATTATTATTGTTGTTATTATTTTAATTCCAGTGTAGTTCACATATAGTGTTATATTAGTTTCAGGTGTCCAATATAGTGATTCAACAATTCTGGGCATTCCTTAGCACTCATCAAGATAAGTGCTCTCCTGGGGCGCCTGGGTGGCGCAGTCGGTTGAGCGTCCGACTTCAGCCAGGTCACGATCTCGCGGTCCGTGAGTTCGAGCCCCGCGTCGGGCTCTGGGCTGACGGCTCAGAGCCTGGAGCCTGTTTCCGATTCTGTGTCTCCCTCTCTCTCTGCCCCTCCCCCGTTCATGCTCTGTCTCTCTCTGTCCCAAAAAAAACTAAACGTTGAAAACAATAAAAAAAAACAAGATAAGTGCTCTCCTGGGGCGCCTGGGTTGCCCAGTCGTTTGGGCGTCCGACTTCGGCTCAGGTCATGATCTCGCGGTCCGTGAGTTCAAGCCCCGCGTCGGGCTCTGTGCTGACGGCTCAGAGCCTGGAGCCTGTTTCCGATTCTGTGTGTCTCCCTCTCTCTCTGACCCTCCCCCGTTCATGCTCTGTCTCTCTCTGTCTCAAAAATAAATAAACGTTAAAAAAAAATTAAAAAAAAAAAGATAAGTGCTCTCCTTAATCCCCATCACCTGTTTCACCCATCCCCCCACCCGCCTTCCCTTTGGGAATCATCAGTTTGTTCTCTATAGTAGAGAGTCTATTTCTTGGTTTGTCTCTTTTTTATCTTTGTTCATTTGTTTTGTTTCTCAAATTCCACGTACGAGGA